AAGAAATCAGGATATTAAAAAAGATTCCCAGGTGATTCTAATGTGCAGCCAAGGTTGAGAACCACTGCCCTAGCATATTACAGATTCAAGTTCTAGCACACCTTTATTACTCCCACCCCCTTTTTCTCTTTGTTACTTCTTGAATTATCAGAGACTCAGAAGATGGACTAGCAAAGGCTTAAAGCCTTCTACTAACAGGGTCTGTCCCTACTAAAAATAATAAATACTCTTTGTCATTTTACTATTGGGGGGTGGGGTATCTAATTATGAATAAAAGAGAAAAGCAAGCAGAACTGGAAAAAATACATCAGGACAGGGGACAAAAATTGCAACTAGAAGAGATATCCTCAGAGAGGCCTCAACTAATCAATTTAAGTTCAGATATAACAGTCTTATTGAACTCCAGGTTTCAAATAGCAGAATTCAATAGGCCTTTCCAACTTTCCACTAAAATACCTATGAAAACACACATATATACACCAAAAAACAAAAACAAAAAGGAAAAGAAAAAATTTTACCCTACCAATAACTGAACTACTACAAACAACTACTGAAAAACCTAACACCAAAATGTGGATAACTCGCCACATTCTTGTATAAGATTGATAGCATTGTATTGGCCTCACCACCTGAAACAGATTGGCTAAACAGGTGGCGGGGTGGGGGTAAAAAGGCAATTTATACCTCTCCATTCCTTACTCATGAGACCTGAGGAGTTTACCATCTAGAAAACCCAGCAACCTACATATACCATCCGATATTACTTTATGACAAAGCCAAAGAGTTCTGTTCATGATCACTTCCCTATCCACCATCTTTCTATATACATTTAAAAAATAATTCTCATAAGATAACAGGGCAGAAAGAGCAAACTAGTGGTGGCACATGAATACTACAAAGTGGATTTCTAACAGGTATATGCTTCAGATAGAAGAGACCTAACCATTTGTAGTTTTTCACCTATTCTCTCAAGATAGTGTCAAAGAGCCAGGGTACAACCCTAACAGGTATGGCTTAGTTGGTTGGACACTGCCCTATGCACCAAAATGTTGCTGGTTCTGTTCCAGGTCAGGGCACATGCCCAGAGGTTGAGGGCTCGATCCCAGATAGGGGGTCTGCAGGAGGCAGCCAATCAATGTCCCTCTCTCATATCAATGTTTCTCTTTCTCTCTCCTTCTCCCTTCCTCTCTAAAAAATAAAATATTTTTATTCCTCAGTAAAAAAAAAAAAAAAAAAAAAGAGCCAGGGTGCATTAGTTACAAAAGGAGAGCAGAGCTGTACCAAGTGAATGCCTGTTAGCAACTGGGATTTAAGAGAGAAAGGTGTGCACATTAATCTACCATTTAGCTGTAGATTTGAGAAGAAAAAAAAAAGTTTTACCGAAGTAGAGTTTAGTGCCAAGTTTTCACAACAGCAAGCAACCTCTGATGGCATCAAGTTTACATAGATGTTACTTCATAAAAGGATGAGCAAAAAGGTGTATGTTTTAGGGAGACATGATGTAGAAACTATGAAAAAATGCCACCTACAACGTAAAGGGAACATAAATCTTGGAGAGTCAGAGAAATAACTCTGAAAATAATTCTAGAATTCTGAAGAAATTTTTAGTAAAATGTTTGGAATTCTCAACACTACATAAAACTTGGCCTCTATGAAATAGTAGTGCAATACATATTTGTTCATTTATTTTAAAAAATTGATATTATGCCCGGCTGCGTGGCTCAATAGTTGAGCAGACCGATGAACCAGGAGGTCACGGTTCAATTCCCAGTCAGGGCACATGCCTGGGTTTCGGGCTTGATCCCCAGTGTGGGGTGTGCAGGAGGCAGCCAATCAATGATTCTCTCTCATCATTGAAGTTTCTATCCCTCTCTCCCTCTCCCTTCCTCTCTGAAATCAATAAAAATATATTAAAAATAAATAAATAATGACTGTAATGTAGAAGAGAGAAATTTATTCCATAATGTTGAGGGTAGAAACAGGACCAGTGAGCAGAAATTACAGACAGACAGATGTTTAACTCAGGAAAAAAAATTTAACAAGATGAGATTTCCAACAATGGCCCACAATGCTTAATAAAGCTATATCTTTATCACTGAAAGTATTTAGCAAAAAAAAAAAAAAAAAAAGCATAACCACTGTCAATCAAATTGCATAAAGAATTCCTCTATGTGCGGTAAGGGTAGTCTAGACATGCCTAGGGCTTTTTTCAAATCTGTAATTCTATTAATTTAACTATGAAAAAGTATTTTCCCTACTAGAAAACGACTCAGAATTCCTGAATGGCCCAGCTGGTGTGGTTCAGTGGTTGAACGTCATTGACCCATGAACCAGGAGGTCACGGTTCGATTCCAGGTCAGGGCACATGCCCAGGTGGTAGGCTCAATCCCCAGTAGAGGGTGTTCAGGAGGCAGCCGATCAATGATTCTCTCTCATTATTGATGTTTCTTTCCCTCTCTCCCTCTCTCTTCTTCTCTCTGAAATCAAGAAAAACATTTTTTTAAAGAATTTCTAGAACCAAGATGGCGGCATAGGTAAACACCGGAAATTGCTGCCTCGCACAACCACTTGAAAAATACAACTAAAAGACAAAACGGACATCATCCAGAACCACAGGAAGGCTGGCTGAGTGGAAATTCTACAACTAGAAGGAAAGAGAAAAGCACACTGAGACTCAGAGGAGGTGCGGAAGTAAAGTGCAGAGGTACAGAGGAGCACGCGGAAAGGGTTGGCAACTGAGGACACGATTGTCTTTTCCAATTGGGAGGGAGACACAAGCTCCCAACGGCCCTGACTCCAATTCCGGGCAAGTCTCTGGGGACCCAGACTCCTACGGGGAGAAACTGGACTGTCTGGCATTGGTCAGAACCAGGGCGGCTTTCTCTCAGAGGTGCTTGCAGTGATTACCGGGACACTGAGACGTGGGACCTCTTAGGGTAGGACTGACGATCAGCCATAGCTGTTTGCTCCGCCCTGTTGATTCCCTGAGACCCCGCCCCACAAAAGCTGTGCGCAGAGGCTTTTGCATATGAATGGTCTGGCCCTTTGCAATCTAAAATTACCTAACAAACTGCAGTTGGGTCAGAGAGACCCAGAACAACCAAAATAAGGCCCAAGGCCCCACAGCAGCTTGCACTGATTCACAGCTGGACCTCATCTAGGCTCCTCCAAACCCCAAACAAAGAAGAGGAATCTGCAGATCTCTCCATAGCTCCTGCTGGGTAGCCTCAGGAGAGGCTAAATTAGCACCTCCTTAGAGATCCAAGTGCCAGTGTGCTCAGTGGTCAGAGTGAGACCATCCAGATTACAACCCCTCAGATCTATAAGGGACACACTCAGGGGGCAGACTCAGTGAGCATCAAAGCCCCACTGAAGCAAGTCTTGCCCCAGAAGGGTGTCTCCAGCACAGAAGTTCTCCCACTGTAGACACAGCTGATTCTCACAGACAATTGGCCTGGAGGTCAATTCCTCCCAGTGATACCTACAACAATCAAGGCTTTACTACAACAAGACTGTGCACACAGCCCACAAAGGGGTGCACCAAGAGTGTCCACCTCAGGTAATTGGGGAGGCTGAGCTACTGGGCCCTATAGGGAACCTAGCACAGAAAGCCACCCTATCAACACAGGGAAGCAGCCAAAATGCAGAGACAAAGAAACAGGTCACAAATGACAGAAATGGAAGAAAGCAAACTACTGGATATAGAGTTCAAAACCACACTTATAAGGTTTTTCAAGAATTTCTAGAAACTGCCGATAAATTTAGTGAGACCCTCAGAAATCTAGTGAGACCTCAAGGGTATGAAAAAGACCACTAGAATTAAGCATACACTGACTGAATA